GAGTCCGTTTCATGTGAATAAATCAGATTTAGTGTGATGGAAATGGGATCTGGAAGAAGGAGTCACCGAGCGTTCTCTGCAGCATTTGTGGCCGAAGCACTCCCTCTGGTGGCTGTACGCGGAACTGCAACCTACACAACTTGGTCTCTAAAACCCCACACTTCCCACACTTATCTCATCATTATCATTTGTACTTTTAATTCCCCTGGCTGCCGTTTCGGGACATGGATGTGTGTGACGCTGCTCCTCACAGCCTCAGAACATGGCCTGATATATTGATTTAATGAAATAAGCTTCTTGAACATGACGAAACCGTAATTGAACAAAGGCCCAAACAAACACATCCGTTGCTTAGCGATGCAAACACGGGGAGGATATAATTGCTAGTGTGAGTGGCTGCTCCCATTGGTGTGGGTAAAACTGAAAATTCTTTGTCATTCATTCATTCACAGGTGTGCCCTTGTTGAGCGGTTTATGACTCCCTTCCAAAGCAGCGCCACAGAGCACCCTCCTGATTGTAATTAGAGCAACTCATTAATGAACTAATTATATATGTCGGGGCTGGAGTGTGTGTGGTTACATGTCAGAGGCGCGGATAAGCCTCATCATGATGCAGAGAGCAAACTGGAGAGGCCCCGAGCAGCTCTGGGAGGTTTTAATCTGAGAAACTGCAGGATTCTCTCTGCATCAGACATGGAGGAGCAGGAAGCACACAACTGGGATTCAGTGCAACACAATCACGGCATGCAAGAGGAAACAGTCAGAGGCACTCTTGACGCCCGCTCATCACACCTTTCTGGCAAGCTATAATTCAATTTCTATCCCAAAAACGAAATACCCCCATAACTATCTGTGGCAGAAACATTATCACCCCTTTTTTCCACCAAAACAATAACATTGAAAGAATCACCAACATATTCATAATAATTAGCAAACACCACATACATAGAAGTCAACTCCGAAATCAACAATTAAATCTAACCCTTAAAAACAGCAAAAAACAACTCCACAGATACCTTAATACATCAACCATAAAAAACTCATGTCCCCCTTTAACACCCCCTATGTTCTAATTTTCAATATTTATTCTCTTTCTCTCTATATCAGTCATCAAAGTCATAAATCATATATAATACTTAATTTCTTATCCATAATGAATGCCATTTGTTTCTGTATATAATGTAAATATTTGTGTTTTTATCTTCGTCATTGTATGTATCGCTGTATATGTATATTTTTATTTTTGTACTAAAAAACATGGAAAAAATAAAAATAAAAAAGTCACTCTTGACATTGAAATAGAAATAATAGAATGGGATGTGCTGCACGCGTTTGGGACACGTTCAGGGCATTCCTCAGGGCAGAAGACTAAAGAGCCAGGTGTGGGTCAAATGCAACTAACTCCTGTCACGTGACCCACACAATAATTAATAGATTTACAACAGATTGATGCAGATCAAATGTCAGAGTCGTGTTTGGAAGATTCTTCAGCTCTGGATGAATCCTTGTCCTGGTTTGATCTAAAGAAAACATGTAAAGTGCCAGGTGTGGTTCAAACACAACTGTCACGTGACCCGCGCACAATAATTAAAAGCACACAGAAATTACACAGATGTACAATAGGTGCAGATGGATGTGTGGTTTCAAATGTCAGAGTCGTGTTTGGGAGATTCTTCAGCTCTGGATGAATCTTTGTCCTGGACTTATATAAAGAAAAAGTGTATTTAGACCCAAGATGAGCTGTGAGACAAATGTTCACAAATAAATATGTGTTTTTGCATTACCGGGCGGCACGGTGGCTGCCTCTCAGCAAGAAGGTTGTGGGTTCGAATCCCGGTCGGAGCAGGGCCTTTCTGAGTGGAGTTTGCATGTTCTCCCCGTGTCTGTGTAGGTTTCCTCCGGGTACTCCGGTTTCCCCTACCACTAAAAATATGTACAATAGGTGTGTGCCTCCTGTACTGGCCCCTCCCATCTCTGTGTGGAGAGAGAGACAAATGCCCCAAAAAAAATAACAATTGTAAACCGCTTTGTGACTCTGGTCTGTGAAAGGCGGTATATAAATAAAGATTACTTACTTAATTAAAACGTTTTTTGATTCATGGTTTTATGATAGAGCTTGTCCCCAGTCCAGTTGTACACTTTCAATCCATCATAATGTTGTTCAGAGACATGTAACTTTTTCATAAATCACGCTAAAAATGCTGACTTTACTTCAATGTGTTAGTCAGAAATATTATAATTGTATATATTTGTTATAAATAGAAGAGTCCCTGAGGTTCAGCACAAACATTATGACATCATCTAACCGGTGAATTAGCTTATTTATTGTATTATTATCTGTATTATTATCTTAATTACTGCGGAAACAATATTACCACACCAACTGAACGTATTTACTCTGTCACACGTAACAAACCGATCCTGTTTCTCAAGTCACGACATTTTCTGTTCGCTGCACTTTGACTCAAATCATATAAAAATAATTGTCTCCTTTTGTTCAATCTGAAAAACTAATAAAGTGCCTGAGATCGCTGCTTCCTGCTTTTCCCACAGTCGTTACAAGAAGAAGCTAAAACGTGTCAAATTGACGGGTTTCAGGTCTGTAATGGACTCTAAGCTCAGAGACGACAGCTGTAAACGATCTCTCCCGTTACAACCAGGAACATGGATTTGTGATATCGGTTCGAAGCATCTCTCCGCGTGGCTCTTGATTATTGTCCACTGTCCTTGTTATAAATAAAACAATCATAATTTGTATAAACCATGGGCATTCTCTGTCTTTATAACCATGTAACTTTCTCTGTCTCTACATGTGGTTTATTTATATTCCACCCTTTTATGAAATTAAGTTTTATTTCTGAAACGCAAAGATAACCTCTGACCCCGGAGCAGTTATTTTGACTGCTCCAATCACTTACATTCACGATTTGAATTTAGCCATTTTTGTTAGCTTGGTAACTAGCATTCTATGGCAGTTAATGCTCCTGGTCCTGGTTCTGAGTCTGTTTCACTTTGGTTTATCGCCAGAAAAGTGCGGGGTTAGTTACCATGGCAACACACTGCATTGCTGGTAGCCGTTAGCATTAGCCTTTCCCCAAACTGCTATCGCTGTGTTTTAAGTCATATTCACCAGTTTTGTAGCAAAGAAAACCTTTTAATAAAACTGGAAAACAAACACACTTATTTTAGATTAAAATAATATTGATCTTTCTAAAAAGCTAATAGCCCTTCAGGCCTTATTTATATTTATGGAAGATAGATTTTTCCAGAATAATGACTGCTTTGGGAGTTTTCTTGTTTAAAATTATGTCTCAGAATAATTCATTAAAATAACTACTAAATACATTCAAATGTCTAAAACTTGAATGACTATTTATTTCCAAATAAGAGTCCTGGGTCCACAGCCTCAGTCCTCCTCAGTCCTGGGTCCACAGCCTCAGTCCTCCTCAGTCCTGGGTCTACTGTCATGGTGTTTATTTTATTTTTGTATTTTGGTTTTATTTTGATATCAGTTCCCTGTGCTTTGGTTTTAGTTTTACTTCCTGTGTTGATGGTCTGCCCCGCCCTGATGTGTCTCACCTGTGTCTGTGTCTACATGTACCTGTGCTCCTCTCCTCTTGTTGCTGGTCCAATGTATTGTCAACCTCCGTCCTGTATTGTCTATGTCTGTTCCTGGTTATGTGTTCATGTGCCTCTGGATTTTGAGTTTGTTTTTCTCCTGCGCGTTTGGTTTTTCATCACTAAATAATTTTATTTTTGGCATTCTTGCATTTTGGGTCCTTCATTCTCCTCTCCACGTGACAGAATGGACCAGCCATCACAAGGACTCAGCGGAATGCCTTTTTCTTTTTTTCTTTTTTCACCACACCGGCTCCCCGTTACCAGGTTTTATTCATTTTTTGCGGATATCCTTCCCTCCACTGCTACCTCTCGACTTGCTACCTTGAACCACCGCCAGGCAAGGAACTCCGTCTGGGGTGGTCTTCTGTTCCCTTCCCCTTGGCCTGTTGTGGGGTCAACAGTGAAGTCCTGTTCTGGATATTCCCGCTCTGCCTGGACTCCCCACCTGTGTCTGCCTGCTCCCCTTTGATGACCTCTCCTTCCCTTTACCTTTTTCCACCGCCAGACATCGTTCTCCGTCTGGGGTGGTTTAGTTCCCGTCTGTGCCACCGCCGGGCATATGTCTCCGCCCGGGGTGAGCCAGTTCCGTGTGGAAGGTCACCACTGGGCTTCAGCTCCTGCTTCTGACCCGTTCCGGCCACTGATTTGTTTGGACCCTGCTGCTGACCAAATCTTCACTACCTCTGGACCCTCCTCCGCTCCCCTTCCACCCCCCCCCCCCCCTGTGTTTTTTGGGACATCTGGGAGCTGTCCCTTGGAGAAGGGGTACTGTCATGGTTTGGATTTTTGTATTTTGGTTTTATTTTGAAATAAGTTCTGTGGTTTTGTTTCAGTTTGACTTCCTGTCCTGTTTTCCCCAGTCTTGTCTGCCCCGCCCTGATGTGTTTCACCTGTGTCTATTTGTACCCTGTGCTCCTCTCCTCTTGTGCTGGACCATTGTATTGTTTCGAGCTTTGTCTGTGTCCTGGTTCCTTGTTCCTGTGTTTGTTTTGGATTCAGATTTTGTTTTTACCTTGGACATTATTTTGATCTTTGTCATTCAATTATTTTGCATTTTCACATTTTGAGTCCTCCTTCCCACCTCGTGACATCTACAGCCTCAGTCCTGGGTCTACAGCCTCAGTCCATAGACGGTTGCTGTTGTGACTTATGGATAAAACAGATTTATTGAATTGAACATATCAAAGCAACAGTCCTGGATCCCAGTCCTGGTGTCTGGTCCTCAGTCCTGGTGTCTGGTCCTCAGTCCTGGTGTCTGGATCTCAGTCCTGGTGTCTGGATCCCAGTCCTGGAGTCTGGATCCCAGGTTGGTGATGTAATGGCGGACAACAAACAGCTGTTATAAGTTTACATTAAACTCTTTAATATCTTTCATTTGTTCAACATCTGGCCTGAGTCTGGCCTGAGTCTGGCCTGAGTCTGGCCTGAGTCTGGCCTGAGTCTGGCCTGAGTCTGGCCTGAGTCTGGCCTGAGTCTGGCCTGAGTCTGGCCTGAGTCTGGCCTGAGTCTGGCCTGAGTCTGGCCTGAGTCTGGCCTGAGTCTGGCCTGGCCTGAGTCTGGCCTGAGTCTGGCCTGAGTCTGGCCTGAGTCTGGCCTGAGTCTGGCCTGCCAGAGTTGGAGCCAAACTTCATCCAAGAGCACTTCCCCATTGGGCTTCATTGAGCTAGTGGGTTAGTATGGTCCATCTGTGGTCCTGAGTTGGTTCTGTATAATATATTGTACGTTTAGTCCAGATGGCCCGGTTCACTTCAACTGCACCAAGTCTGGTTCAAAAGATGTGTGCGTGCGTGCGTGCGTGCGTGCGTGTGTGTGTGTGTGCGTGTGCGTGTGTGTGTGTCCTCATAGTTCCCTCAGACTCAGGTGTGACAGTTGTGTGTCATGAAGAGGATTAGTGTCACAGACACATCCGACAGTGGCACGCAGCTGTTTGATCTGTGCGCGAGGCTTCAGGTGCGTTCACACCACCAACGCCGGAACGCTGACGCCTCGCGCACCGGACGCACATTCTCTAGTGTTCAGACGCAGGGGTCTTCAGCACATGTGGCGTCAGTCTGGGGGGGTAAAGGGTTCAGAGTACCCAGCGCCCAAGGCAGGGAGGGGCCCCCTAAAGTGTGCCTACACATGTATATGTATTATGCATTAATGTAGTGCTGGCCCATCAAGTGTGTTGTACCCGGGGACCAGAATTTGGTGCTACCCCCCTGGTCTTCAGACCAGAAGTCCTGCTGCGGTGGCGCCCGCCGGAAGTGGCGGAAGTAGTGGGCGGGCTTTGATGCTAACAGAGCTAAGCTAGCGGCTTCTTTTGTAAAGTTCTTCTCAAATAATGCAGCTCTGCAGCGTGTCTGTGTCTGAGACCTTCACAGACTTTATATAACAGCAGTATGTGTTCACGGAGGTGACTTTATATAACAGCAGTATGTGTTCACGGAGGTGACTTTATATAACAGCAGTATGTGTTCACGGAGGTGACTTTATATAACAGCAGTATGTGTTCACGGAGGTGCGCAATAAGTTTATTTTATAATAAACAATATTTACACATCGGCGAACGCACTCGAAGCAGTTGCATAAAGTCACGGGAGCATGACAACTCATATGCGTGAGTCCGTGTGTCTCTACAGAGCAGTCCGTGTGTCTCTACAGAGCAGTCCGTGCGTCTCTACAGAGCAGTCCGTGCGTCTCTACAGAGCAGTCCGTGCGTCTCTACAGAGCAGTCCGTGCGTCTCTACAGAGCAGTCCGTGCGTCTCTACAGAGCAGTCCGTGCGTCTCTACAGAGCAGTCCGTGCGTCTCTACAGAGCAGTCCGTGCGTCTCTACAGAGCAGTCCGTGCATTCCGAGACAAACATGCATTTTGACGCACATTGACTTTGCATTGAAAGCCGACGCAACGCATGATCCGGTCTGAACGCTGCAGTCTGTGGTCCTCAGTTAAAATCACAGAGCAATAAAAAGAGTGAAGAAAAGAGAGAGATCCTTTATTCGTCCCAGAGTGGGGAAATGTCAGTGTTGCACCGCACAGACAGGACAGAGACACAGAGAGCACACACAATATTCAAAATAAATAGTAGCTATGTTTTTTTTTAGCTGTAAATGCTTCAAATCCAGTCTTTAAAAAATATATCTGTAATGAGGAGTTATATACTGTACATACAAGATTCTGTTGTATATGCACCGCTAAACAAGACTCTTTCAGCCGTCTCACTTTTTCAGGAAGACTGTTCTGGGAAATCTGAAACGCTGCCTCCTCATGTTTAATCCTGACTCTGAGTCCCAGCAGGAGTCCAGTGCCTGTGCTCATCAGAGTCCCAGCAGGAGGCCAGTCCCTAGTCTGTTTTTGTGTTTTTTTGCCTGGATATTAAAACTCTAAACTGCCTCTTGACTTTGGGTCTGTTTTTGAGCCATTCTTGTACCAACCTGACAGTCTGATTCTCTGATCTGTCGTTGGCGAATCGACAGCTTTTGCAAACTACACTGTTGTGAATTAGGGCTGATAAATATCGTTCATAATAATTGTTGTTTTGAGAGTTCCAGCTGCTGTCGTGTGAAGTCTGTGAAACCTGATCCCAGTGAGCCTCTCGTGTGCTCACCTCACCTTTAATTGTCGCCTTCTGTTGTTCTTTCGCAGGTGTTTTATTGATGCAAAGGTCAGATATTTGCATCTCTGGCAAAGCTCACAAATCGTTGGGATAATTATAGCATAGTTCTGATCCGCCTGTGCCACAGACTTATTTTTAATCTCCCCGTGTGAAGCAGGTATGCACGGTATGTTGATCCAATTTATGGATCTTAATCACAACTGTAGCCTCAGTCCTGGGTCTACAGCCTCAGCCTCAGTCCTGGGTCTACAGCCTCAGCCTCAGTCCTGGGTCTACAGCCTCGGTCCTGGGTCTACAGCCTCAGTCCTGGGTCTACAGCCTCAGTCCTGGGTCTACAGCCTCGGTCCTGGGTCTACAGCCTCAGTCCTGGGTCTACAGCCTCAGTCCTGGGTCTACAGCCTCGGTCCTGGGTCTACAGCCTCGGTCCTGGGTCTACAGCCTCAGTCCTGGGTCTACAGCCTCAGTCCTGGGTCTACAGCCTCAGTCCTGGGTCTTCAGCCTCAGTCCTGGGTCTACAGCCTCAGTCCAGGGTCTACAGCCTCAATCCAGGGTCTACAGCCTCAGTCCTGGGTCTACAGCCTCAGTCCTGGGTCTACAGCCTCAGTCCTGGATCTACAGCCTCAGTCTTGGGTGATGGTGGTGCCCAGGAAAGGATAGCACTCGACAGAGGTGATGGGGGAGTCCATCACGGAGGGTGGGGGCGGGGGGACAGTGCTCCTCATGAAGTCCACAATCATCTCCACTGTCTTCTGGGCGTTCAGCTCCAGGTTGTTACCACTGCACCAGGACACCAGCCGGTCCACCTCCCTCCTGTAGGCGGACTCATCGTTGTTGGAGATGAGTCCAATGAGGGTGGTGTCGTCTGCGAACTTGATCAGCTTCACGGAGTCGTGGCTGGAGGTGCAGTGGTTGGTGTACAGGGAGAAGAGCAGGGGAGAAAGAACACAGCCTTGTGGGGCTCCTGTATTTATAATCCGAGAGTCCGAGACATTCTTCCCCAGACGCACTCGCTGCTTCCTGTCCGTCAGGAAGTCAGTAATCCACCTGCAGGTGGAATCGGGCACGTTGAGCTGGGAGAGCTTGTCCTGGAGCAGGGATGGCAGGATTGTGTTGAAGGCAGAGCTGAAGTCCACGAACAGGACCCTGGCGTAGGTCCCCGGGGAGTCCAGGTGCTGTAGGATGTGGTGGAGGGCCAGGTTAATGGCGTCGTCTACAGATCTGTTGGCTCTGTAGGCGAACTGCAGGGGGTCCAGGAGGGGGGAGGTGAAGGACTTGAGATGGGAGAGGACCAGGCGTCCAAATGACTTCATGACGACAGACGTAAGTGCTACAGGTCTGTAGTCGTTGAGTCCTGTGATCCTGGGCTTCTTCGGGACGGGGACAATAATGGAGGATTTGAAGCAGGCCGGGACATGGCAGGACTGCAGAGAGGTGTTGAAAATGTCAGTGAACACAGGAGTAAGCTCACTGGCGCAGTATCTCAGAGTGGCCGGAGACACGTGGTCCGGGCCAGGAGCTTTGCGGGGGTGCAGCCCGTCGTTTCATGTCTTCTGAGGCTATTGTCAGGGTGGGGGCAGAGCTGATGATATATACTGTATGTATGTATCTATATATATATATATATATATATATATATATATTATACAATTATACAAACATATATATTATTATATTATTATTATACTTTTACATAATTATATCCTGCACAGACTATATTTTTAACCTTATCATGTTTCACACTTCTGTCTTTTGCACAATCTGAGTGATTCTGTGCTAATGTGACCTGAACATTTCTCCATCAGAGATCCATAAAGTAGATCTTATCTTAAATTCCAGAATCCAGTTCCAATCTAGTTTTTTAAATCCAGGTTGTCGGCCACAGGTCAAAAGGCCCTCTTACGGAAAAGTTTGGACACCCTTTACACAAATACAGTGAAATGAAGGGACTTTACATTCAGACCTAGCCTGGTCGTACACACCATTGCACTCATTTAGCCTAGCTTTAGCCATCTGCTTTGCCGCTAATGGAGCCTGTGGGGAGTAGCGCAACAACATCTTTGCAGCGATTACATTTGCTAAACATTCCTCTTGCTCTGGCTTCAGTTTCTTGATAGAACTAGACCAGAATTCTTTACCATATTTCACCAAACTACAACCTGCCTTTTCGGCGCAAAGTCTTGACGTCACCCACATCTAACTACAACACCCGCCTCCCGCGCTCTCTGATTGGTCGGATGGAATTCAACCGATCGTAATCACAAACACAGGGACCAGACCCAGATGTAAGAAATGACCATAGAGTACGGATGGATGAGGCCAGGGTAGGTCAGACCTGGTTTTTGACAGGTTTTTGCTGGATGGAGGTGCTGAGGATTCGAGAAAGGCCTGGAGGTCGAATTGCACCCAGCACCATCTTTCTAACCCACAGCATCCAGTCAGTGAAAGTCAGTATAAGTCATTAGTGCTGGTTCTTTTCCTCTGAACATGTTTTTATGACCACATCACTCTGTTCTCTTTAGACCCGCAGCCGCTGCCCTGGTTTACTTACTTTAATATAATCCATTCAGAGTGTTTCCCCAACATGAGTCCAGACCTGAAAGGCCTCTCTCTGGACTCGGTGGGTCTGGGCGGTCTGGGGGATAAAAGCGACGGCCTTTTTTGGACTGATGGGACGTGACAAAAAGAGCCACAGGGACAGGGACGTTTTGTCCATCAGGGTCACATTAAGATACAGGAGAGTGTTCAGACTATTCAACAGACCCTGAACAGGAGAAGGAAGGGAGGGAGGAGGGAGGGAGCAGGAGGGAGGAGGGAGGGAGCAGGGGGGAGGAGGAGGGAGGGAGGGAGGGAGGGCAGCCTGGCATTAGCCGGTTAGTGGGAGGAAGGATGTGTGAGATTTCATAACACTTTGAAGCAACTTTTGTTAAGGTTAAACTCATCATTCTATCAATGTGCAGAAGCCTGTACTTTTCCCTTGTTTTGACTTCTGAAGGCCAAGCTACAAGCACACCGTGGAAGCTGCTGATTGGAGGTCTGCATTCCTCCGCTCTGTATAATACACTTGCTGTCGTAACATCCCTTGTTCGTGTGCTTTGTTCGTGCTGTCTCTACCATCGACAATAAAACATGTCTTCTGTCTGAATGAAAGACGCAATCCCAGACTTTGTCATCTTCTTCAGGTGGTGGAAGGATGTTTTTTTTAAAGACAAAACTGAAAAGCCTCAAGAGAAACCATGCATCTGGATCAGCACATGGACACATAGTCTGGGAGACTGAGCAACTGTTAAAATGTTTTAAAATGAAAAATTATGAGTATTGTAGCGTTTTAGTAGATGTTAAATAGTAGTAAAAAAGTAAAATTTGATTTCCTTTGTTGTTCATAAAAACATTTCCACATAAGAGTTAAAATCATAAGTATACAATGTTATCCTTCTGATATAGCAGCTAAAATATTAGAATCAGAATAATGTTACAGCCATTAAAAGTTATAGAAGTCACAAACTAGAAATATGCCTTGGCTCAAGCTGCAACCGAGCTTTGGAGTCACAATTAGAGAAATAGAAATAGATAAAGGCATCAACCATAGATGCTTTCAAAAATAGAGATTATTTCTAGCCAGTGCTAATATCAAACGGTAAAAGGACCATTTCCTTCAAAATAGATTCATAAGCATTTACTTCAGAATTAAATCAAGTTAATTACAGTTTTATTAGATACTTGCCAAATTCACTTGTGTTCAAACATCTGTGAATGTTGACAATACAAAAAGTTTGAGTAAAGCTTAGATCAATGAGATTACAACCAACAGAGATTTAAAAGTAGAAGAAGTAGGAGAAGTTTAAAAAGTTGTCAATTCACCAGAACAGATTAGAGAATCAAACACCATTGTAGAATAACTGACCCCAACCCCAAACCTGCTAAAATAGATTAGCTCTTGTAAGGATAATACTAATTTGATTAATGATGTACATTCATCCCAAACTTCCTGACAATAATATCTTTATATAATATAAAGTAATAAATCACTGACCACTATAGAAGTGTAAATGTTGACCATTTGCCTTACTGTGTTCACAGATTTATTCCTGAGAATGAGAATAGACATGGAGCAAAATCCCACTAACAATATGCCACTGATAATGAAAGTAAACCACAGAGAGATTTATTAGATTAAAATATATGTTTAAGAATTTGGCTCAATAAAAGCAAATATGCAAACACATTTGTAAATAGATTAGAATAGTTTTTAAACTATAGTGAATAATGAAAGTAAAGCCTGGTTCACACGAGACGATTTTAAAATTGTCGGCCAATTTTTCTCCGTGTTAGACCCCACACGGGGAGATTAAAAATCCTGCGTCTAACCACTTTGGTCGTGCAGTGTGTGGTGCGTAGCCACACGGCAAGATCCCCCCCCCGAGCATTCCCAGGTCAGACGGAACTTCAGAGTAAACAGTCATGGCGGACGAAGAGGATGCAGTGGCGATAGTGTGCAGTTTGTTGTTAACAGAGAAGAGACGTAATTCAAAGAAAAGGCAATGGTCAAAGCGTTTTGGTTTTTTTCCGGTGTTTCCTCACCGGCTTGTCACCTCGTCTTCTTATTGGCTACACGCCGTAGTCATGGCAACGCGCTCGCTTGTCCTCGGAGGACACCACACACGACGAGAAATCGGGCCAAAACAATCCAACATGTTGGATATCCCCGATTTGAGATCGGGAGCAGTCCCGATGTCCTTCCGAGCGACGAGTGCAGTCTTAACACACCACACACGGCAGGATAATCTGTAAGATTTTGTTACGGAAATCGGAGCGTTTCTTAAGATTGTCGTAAGGGGTAAATTGGGTCTAAATCGGCCTAAATATCCTGCCGTGTGAACCAGGCTTAAAGTACACAGTCTAAGATTGAAAAGTGATAATAATACAGTGGATTAACTGAAGTGTAAACAATTAGCATTAGAATAAAAGTATAGAGTAAGAAAAGTGAAATTAGCTTCTAATTTGAGACTCAGCTCGTTTTTGTCTGTGTTTTGACTGAATCGGCTGAGTTCTTGTGTGTCCAATAGTTTTTGTTTTTATTTTTGTTTGTTTTGTTTTGTTTTTCCCCAGGATAGAGGATAAAATCCACTGATTTGATGATTATTAGTTTAATGCATACATTTTCTTTGTTTTTTAAAGTTATTACTTTTTTTTTTTTCCACTTTATTGATTGATCAAATTGAGTGATCACATGTGATTATGTGATCAAAGGGGTGAGTGTTAGTATTAGATGGCAATATGGCCTACGTGCAGGACTGTACAAGGACTCTGATTATTTTGACTATGATGTGACTGTCTCTGTGTGACACGTACGTCTTTCCATGTGTGACGTGACAATGACTATATAAACTGTGTACTGCCTTTATTCTGTCTGGAAAAAACAAAAACAAAAAAGTCTTCTGTTCTGTAGATGTTACAGACAATGCCCGCATCCTTCCACCACCTGAAGAAGATGACAAAGTCTGGGATCGCGTCTTTCATTCAGACAGAAGACATGTTTTATTGTCGATGGTAGAGACAGCACGAACAACACGAACAAGGGATGTTACGACAGCAAGTGTATTATACAGCATGGAGGAATGCAGACCTCCAATCAGCAGCTTCCAGGGAGCCAGTGGAGTGATTTTGACTATCCACGTACACGTGGATAGTCAAAACAAGGGAAAAGTACAGGCTTCTGCACATTGATAGAATGAAGAGTTTAACCTTATCAAAAGTTGCTTCAAAGTGTTATGAAATCTCACAGATGGACAGAGGAGGGAGGGAGGAGCAGTGTTGCCAACTCCTCAGTAAGGAATGTAGCTATTGGCTGTCCCAAAAGTCGCTAGAAGTCGCTAAATGACGTCATCGCCTAATTTGCATAATTTGCCATTTGCAAATAACTGTAACGGACGCTGTAGGAGAGAGGAATAAGGTCGTGGGAGAGACAAAGGTGAGTAAAAACACCCTAAATATGTTTAGAACTACAAATGTACAAAAATAATTTCAACATTAACAACATTTAATGATTTTAATGCTTTGTCTAGATCCACATTACACACATCAGTTTTGTCCTGTATTGTTAAATGTTATAACAGCAAATGTAATCAAAAGATTGTTATGTAGGGTGAAATTGCTAGCTCTACAACCAACCCTCCTCCTTTATCCGGGCTTGGGACCGGCAAAGTGACCCAAAAGACACACTCTGGCAGAGTTACTTAGGTTTATTTTTGTAAGTTTTTTTTTTTTTTTTTTCATAGTTTGGCATAACAAATGATTTAATGTGACCCACTACTGAGAGAAAACAGAGTCACGGACAGAGCTGCCGCGGATGGAGTGGGGGGTAGTGGGGGGTGGCGGTGGTAGGAGTGGCCGGGGAGCTTTGGATGTGTGGTGGTGGTGGAGCTGAAGTTCAGTCTGCAGCAGCCTGAAAACTTCCTGTGCTTTTGAGTCTCCTCTCTCTCTCTCTGCTCCGCCCATAGACTGTAGCTGGGACTGCTGCGCAAGGCTACTGTGAGACTGGCCGCCTGTAAGTGCTTTGGGACGGGGGAGGGGCTCACGTTGAGGACAGCAGAACAATACGTGCTTCACGAGTCTCCAAAACACCCGATCAGTCGCCAAAACACCAGATAAGTCGCCAATAACACCAGAAAAAGTCGCTAGATTTGTCGCTAGTCGCTTTTTTGAAAAAAAGTCGCTATAGGGGTCTGAAAAGTCGCTAAATCTAGCGACAAAGTCGCTAAGTTGGCAACACTGGGGAGGAGCGAGGGAGGATGGAGGAGGGAGGGAGGGAGAGAGGATGGAGGGCTCGGGAGGAGGGAGGGATAGGCTCGGGAGGGGAGGAGGGAGGGCGTGAGGAGGGAAGGAGGTGTGGAGTGAAGGGAGGATGAGGAGGGGATAGAGGAGGCGAGGGAGGATGGAGGATGGCTCGGGGAGGTGATAGGGAGGGAGGAGAGGATGGAGGAGGGAGGGGGAGGGAGGAGGGAGTGAAGGACGGGAGGAGGGAGGGAGAGAGGAAGGAGGGAGAGAGGAGGAGAGAGATGGGGAAGAGAGGAGGGAGGAGTTTTAGGAGGAAGGGAGGGGGAGAGAGTGAGAGAGGACGGGAGAAGGGAGGAGGGAGAGATGCGTAGAGGGCGGGAGGTAGGAGGGAGGGAGGAAGGAGAGAGACTCTTGATGCTGCGTCTCCACATATGTTTCTTGTAGAGCTCTGCACACACCACAGAACACAATCACCGCACAATCACTTTCTGTGGGAATTTTTCTGTCAAAAGTCAGATGTGTGTTGTGCTGTTTGAGTGTGTGGTCGGGAGGACAGAGACACCCTGCTGAGGCTGAGGACTGAGGCTGTAGACCCAGGACTGAGGCTGTAGACCCGGGACTGAGGCTGTAGACCCAGGTCTGAGGATGTAGACCCAGGTCTGAGGTTGTAGACCCAGGTCTGAGGCTGTAGACCCAGGTCTGAGGCTGTAGACTGTTGTAGAATTATAATGTTGTATACTAATGATTTCCAGTAGGTGTTTGCAAACATGTCTTTGTGCAATATTAAAGCTGGTTGGATTGGATTTAATGGAATTCAGACAAGCACCAAGGACAAAGGCTTCTGTGATAAAAGTATCATTTTCAGGAACAGCGTGTCTCTAGCGGCCTGAGACAAAACCAGACTGGGACCAGCCTGAGACCATATGACGTCATCGGAGATTCTGATAAAACCGTTGGGAGGACACATTGGGGGAAGTGAGAGCACAGGGATAGAGATTTAGGGAGTAGCTCCGGGAGTTCTGTATCTACATTTAATTGTAAAGAGAAATAAATGTACTATTGGAACTCTTGAATCTTGGCCTTATTTCTG